AATAGTGGTTTTTGAATATTTTTTCGTGGTTGTCAATTTTTTCAATCGATGAATCACTCTGTATATCATGGAACTCATTGGGATACATCCTTCAAAAATATTTTGAATGTCTGGAATCAACCCGATAATACGAGGTGGCCCAATGAACTTTAGGATAGACCAATTATGCAATCAACAGCATTAATGAAACACCATGTATAATTATTATATTTTACGAATTCAATTGATGTAAGAAGAGCATACTTGGCTATAAATCTCATTTTGTAATTGTTATCAATTTGTAGCATTGATATTCAGATATTCAAAAAAACACATTATTTGAAATGAGAATCACCCTGTAATAAAAATCAGTTTTGGTCGAATACCTATATAGTTCTTGCGCCTAAGGGCATAACTATCACGTGCTCCCGAATAATTGGAATTCATTTGTCCTATCTTAGAGATATAGGCCGAGAAAAATTAGGTATTCTTCAACTTCAACACCCTGTATCTCGTAAACTAGTCATAGGATTGAGTTGGGACTTGGCATATTCAATCAGTATGTCGAGTACTATCATTAACCAAAAATTGGGGAAATTCGACGGAACGCCATTTTTATATAGAAAAAGTGCGGGGTCCTTTACTGAAACGGAGGTGAACATTATAATTATGTTTTTGAAATGGATACCAATGTCTGTCATCATAATATCGTGATTGATAAACGGGTTTTGATTGAGGATGAATGGCCATGTGCCCTAAGAACGCGCACTGATTGAATCATATCAAATGTGAATTCAACTCTGTTCTGTTCGAATTTTCTTCAACTGTACTACCACTAGTTGAATTCACATCCATTTTACTGCTTGATTTACTTCAATTTTGTGTCCTATACCACTTGTCATAATATCGTGTCATCAAGACTTTGACTTATGTCAAGGTTTATTCAATTAATTCCGTGTTTTTTACCTCAAGTTGGATCTAACACGTTGTTGGCTTTTGGCCCCATCAATTCCGAATTGATTTTTGGATTTTGAGTGCGCTCTCTCAAGGGTACGGAACCCTTCAGTTTTTTTTGTATCACAACCAGAATGATTTTTGAGAGTACCTTGTGCGCTCGTCAAGTTGCCCTTCTGGGACTCGATTTTTGATTGATTAAGTGCACGTTCTGAGGTCACGGGACCCTTTCATCTTCAATAGAAACCCGTATATTCTGACAAAACTTATTTATCATCATTCCCAATATTATGATGACAGACATTGGCATCCGTTTTGAAAACATATGATGTTCACCTCCATATATTTTCACATGCCTTTGCTTGTAGTAACTTATGAAATATGGCTGAAGATGGACTTACATAAGCCCAATACATGTTCCTTTGATTGACTACATCATTATCAAAGTTGTGGAGATGACTTTGAGCTCTCCTTCCTCCCTTTAATGAATACTTTGTTCACTTTGTATGGACGTGATTATGACTCATACTATTATTGGATGATTTGTTCGTGAAATATCTCTTATTGAGTATTATAGTAATGGTGGAGAGTTGAAAACCAATATTGTTCTCTGATTTGTGTAGTATTGAGAATCAATTGATATACCCATTTGGGACAACGATGTGAAGAGCTGCAAACTTCCACGAATACTCTCTCTTTTTCTGGTATTCATTCAGATTTCAGTGATATAAATCGGAGATCATTATGAACTGAATTACTTTTGGAATTTTCCTTCGCATATTTTCCAACGAAAAAACAAACTGATATCCACCTTCACTTCACAAACATTGAAAAACAAAAAAGCTGCAGGAGTAGATGGTATCAGGCCGGAAACCTTGAAATATGTAGAATCTTCTATGTGTATCTTTGTTGACTTGGCTAAAGCCTTCGATACTGTTGACCACATCAAATTACTTCAGTATATGGAAAATATTGGAATCAGAGGAAACTCGCACGAATTGATTACTAGTTACTAACACCAACGGCAACAATGTGTACGTATTGACACTAAGCTAACACAGGATGTAGAAATTAAACTCAATACGATTTTTTGAAATATATCGGTATAAAATAAAAGGTAAAGCACATATATACATATAATATAAACTTTAATTAGCAGTTGACGTTTCAAGTCTCCATTATACTATAGTGCCCCCATGGAAGAGTTTCGCAGGATCCTGTACAATATACCTCTTGTCATCTTCTGAACTGAGAGCGATTTTTCCTTGAATTATGGAATGAACCTGGTGCTTTTTCGCTCTTATCAAAATTTGAGACACCTTCTTATGCTCGTGTGTTTCCAGACAGTCGACGTAATCCTCGAAAGTGATAGCTGTTTTAACAACAGACGATTTCACGCCTTTCGCTTTCTTTGCAACACCCATATCCATTATAATATTATTAATCTCGTCCTCATCATAATCACCCTCCCGTAACTTTGCCCTCTTCTTCTCAAAATCATCATCAGTTACCAGCACCTTTGTAGAGTATAATTTTGATCGTAGACCTACATATTCCATCATTATGACAGAACCGTTCTCATCTTCCATCATTCCTAGAACCTTCTTGTTCACCTGAGGAATTCTATGAATATTATCTTCAGGATAGTCAGACGTATCGAAGTGGGTGTGGCAATCTCGCCTCATAACTTCATACGGATTTTGAGCTAAGTGCTATGCGAACAGTTCACTATGGAGTACCTTGAGGCACAATCCTAGGTCCTCTTCTATTCAATATATATCTGAACGACATATTCCAACTGAACATCAGAGGAAAGATGACAACATTTGCAGATGACACAGCGATTTTTCATGAAGCATCAAACTGACAAGAACTGAAAGAGATAGCTGAGACGGATTTAGGGTTGGTCTTCACCTTGATGATAAACTTTTAACTATTAACTTAAAAAAATATATTTTTTGTACCTTTCTCATCTCACTTCAGAAATGTACCTGTATATGAAGAGTTGAACATAAAAAATCTCACCAACGAGATCCTAACAGTCAAAATCAGTCGAGAATGTTAAATACCTTGGCATCCTGGTCGATAATCACCTCAGATGAGATAAACATATTGAGTACGTAATGAAAAAACTCAGACCAATGATTTACAGATTCAAATTCTCATCAAACATTCCACTCCTGAATTTACTGAAAACATTATACTTTTCTCTAGTTGAAAGCCATTTAACGTATGGTATTACAGCCTGTGGAGCAACGACAACTAATTATAAAAATAATCTGGAAAAAATACAAAAGTATATACTGGAAGTCATTCACAAAAAACCTCGCCGATACCCAACAGATAATCTATACAGTGAAACTCGAATTTTTGACATCAATCAGCTTTATGTTAGAACTATTTTATTGAAACAACACAAATATGTTAGAATCAGCATGGATCGAAAAATGGCTCCAATATAGGTAAAAGGTGAAGGCTATTGAAGAGTCTCTCTTGATGATTTTTCTCTCAATTGACTATTAACACACACTTTTCTGAAATCAACTATTCTATAGGTGGATAGATTTGTGGAGGAAGTATGCTCTCGTTTGATTGGATTCCAGGTTGAAAATGCAATAATAAGTGGAAGTAGATATTTTGACGAATGAAAAAAAATATTCGATTTGATATTTTGATGACCCAATTTCGATGTATTCCTACCATTTTCTATCATGATTATTTGTGCTGCTGGTTCGATCAGAATCATAATCAAGATTTTTTTCCAAAAAGAATATTAATGATTCATATCGAGTACACCTAATCGATCCTCTATAAAACATTCCTGAAACAAAATTTCACAACCTCGTTACATTCACTGTTATTCGAGAAATATACTGTCGAATTAATTATTGCATGCTCATTGTGGAACATTCACTATGTTTCCGTATTCGTATTCAATACATCCAGAGAGAGACAATGCGAAACATGTCCAAACAAAATTAGGCTCTTCTGATATGCTTGGGTATGAAGGCAAATATTTCTCAAGTTGGAAGGAGAAGATTACCCAAATCTACAACAGATAAATAATATTAGGAATTGTCATCTAGTCATACATATATAATTTTGATGAATCTTATGAACAAATATAATTTGAATTGACTTAATGATTGAAGGTATCTAGGTTTACACAATATTGTTTAGGAGAAATTACTCGATTTTGCCGAGATACGCCTAAATGTTGATGATCCATTTCGAGAACTGTAATATCTCTTCCTCAATTCCTGCTCCGTGATGTAAAAGCATTCTCATTATTTTTTTGTTCTAAAATTTGTTCTAAGATTTTTTCTATCCGTCATTCGGTTGCCATCTTACGAGCAACCCTCAAAAGTCTTCGGAAGTCTTGTGCGAGCAAGGAATGACGGGGGCCTTACTTTTCAACGTGTGATCCCAAACACTTTCTTGGGCCATCAGAAGAATTTCTGCAGTCGACGGGGATCGAACCCACGACCGGCAAACGAATGCGAATTAGAATATAGACACTCTGTCCGCACGGCTACCTGGCCACCTGAAATATATATATAATTATGCTAAATGAATATTCTTTTAATAAATAGGACACCTCATGTTATATCATTGCAATTCAAGATCTCCATTGAATTTTTAACAAATTTTATGAATGGATTCATATCATAAAAAATAATAGTTTTGGTATCATGAACACTTCATTATAACTACTGTTGTTTCACTAGTTCAGTGAAAAAACCGTGAAAAATTGAAAAACAATGTATTTTTCATTCATATCCTTACTTTTTGCGAGCTCTAGGAGTCACGTGAAGGAGACGCAATTTCGCACCTCACTGTATGTACTTTGATCGAATTTCGTCCAAACACTTCATTTTCATCCACATTAAACTAGTTTATATAGAATAAAAAGTTATTCATTTCATATTAGGGAAACCTTGGGAAAGAATATCTGTATATATTTATTCAATGAATTTCTATTGTTTTAATTTGACTTCTGTTGTTCATTAATAATCCTAATAAAAGATGATAATCATTTCTGTTATCGAGGAATTGTTTCAATGATGTGATAGTTCAAGCCTGCAATCTGCAGAGGAAGTGAACTGTGAAAACTCAGTTGTAGAATTGAATGAACTTTGTCATCATTCATAATGATAAAAAATGATGAGGTTGAAATTGAAGAATTAACGTACATTTCAACACCCGATGCCAATGCTGAATTAATCAAACAAATTGATTCAAGAAATGATGAAAACCAGCACGGAATATCTCCTTTTTTATACTTCACTGCGATCGTTGGTGAGTACCAACACTTGAAGAATAAATTTGTAGGAATCAGTTGACGTTTTACCAATTTATGAAAGATACTCTGAAGTATTCCCTTTCTTACATGAAGGAGAAATGATGATGAAATCTAATTGATGTTGTGGAATGTGATAAACTCAGATTGTATATGAACAATTCAATCATCATTATCAATATTTATGAATGATGCAATGCTTGACCAAACCGAGAACTCAACAAATTGTATTTGGTGAAATAGAAGTAAAAAGAAAAGGAGAAGAATTACAGGAAAGCAAGATAAGAAACTACGAATGATTCGATGAATCTATAAATAATTTCATTCACTGAATCTGACTGATGATTTCATGAACCAGGTCATCTTAGTTAAATGAACCAACACAATAACCAATCAATGGAAGTTATTTCTCAACACAGATACCCGAGTGAACTACTCTTCAATGTGATTCGATTCGAAAAATTCAGAACATATTATGGCAACCATTTTACCAAGTGGGTAGATCTTCGTTGAGTCAAACCTTGTTCCAACTATGTGAACTGCTGAGTATCGAACTGGTATTGATCCCTCTGTATTATTCGTTTGGTATATTGGTTACTTCAGCACACTATAGGTACCCTAGTTAATACTATTGAATTATTATCACTAATCTCGTGGCTATATTCGACGTATAGGTTTTTATCTACTCCTATTAAATTATATATCAATGATTCAGCTGCCTTTGTACAATTAATAGTATCTATAAACAAACAGCGTGAGTTATAATAACTCTCGCTACTATAACTCACTATAATACTTACATCGAGAAAGGCTCTTGGAATTATTTACGAACCGAAAATCAAGATGGCTCAGTACTTCTGTACAAGCCAGTTGGCCGAAAGGGAACAGTCCATTATTGTTATTGAGGGGAGTGATGTCAACTGAATAATTTTGACGTTTTCAAACTGAGCTGATACAATTATTGTGATTTTTTTGATGAATTCAGATAGTGAAAATGGATTATCATTTGAATTTCCATATGGAAAATATCACTCACAAAGAATGGCATTGATAAATTTTGAGCAATGGGGAAAGACATTGCCACATTTCTGAAATTACCAGACTGTAATTTATATACAGGGCATTGTTTTCGCCGCTCGTCGGCAACTTTATTAATAGATGCCGTACGGCACTGAAACGCCATGGCGGTTGGCGATCAACTACTGTGGCAGAGGGGTACGTTGATGATTCCGAAAAGAATAAGACAGATACTGCAAACAAAATATACAGTTCTATTACAGCTCAATCAGTTAGTACATCAACAACATATATGCAACAAACACAAAAAGAAACAATAAACTTCCATAATTCAGTTCCAACATATTCAGTTTACTGTTAACTTCACAGTTAATTTTTTCAATGAACAATATGCGAGTGATTGAATCTAAAATTTGTATTAAGTATATCAAGATTTGTCAATAAAGTTCTCTGTACTTGTATAACTTAGGATTTATTGTAATAGTCGTAGATAAAGTATAGTATTCAACTTGCGGTAATGGTCATAACTCACTTGATGAATTACAGCACTCGCCTGTGGCTCGTGCTGCAAACTTCATCTGCGTGAGTTATGACCTACATTACCGCTCGTTTAATAATATACTATTATTCTATAAGCAAGATCACGTATTACTAAGTATATTTTTTTTATGTTCTGGTTTCCACGAAAAAGGGTTTCCTGTGATGTTCAGAGAACATCGTGTGAACCAAGGAAAATAAGGTAGAAATTGGTGTTCTTTTTGAATTTCTGGAGGTTATATGCCTCAAGGAACACCTCCCTTGGCAATGTGTTCCAGAGACTCGCTGTTCGTTGGATGAACGAGTCTTTGGAAAGAGATGTTCTGCAGGTCTCCAAACTGACCACGAAGGCGTGCGAAGCCTCAACCAGACAAGATGATCTCGCGGGGACTTCCAAGGGAGGTCCCAGATAGCACACTCTCGCCTAAGGTCATCCTCAATGTGTCGCCAAATGCCTGGAGAGGACGTTCTATTTTCTATAACCTAAGAACATCATCAGGCGTAAATTTAGCGCTGTAATTGTCCTAAATGAGTTCTTTTAGTGACAGCCTGAGGATGTAAAGAATTCCGTGTCTACGGACGTCTTCAGATGACATTCCATGAAATAACGTGTCATCGAAGACAAAAGGAAGAAAAAGAAGAACTGGAATTGAGGTTATGTCTCATGATAGTCATGATTTGTTCAAGATACATCATAATATATTGATGATTATATCAAAATTATTCAGTTGAATACCTTCATCAAATTTCTATTTCACAAAATGATTGCGAGAAGAACTTATTGCACAGAATTAAAAGATAACAATAACAAATGGATGATAACCTCTGTTGATGACATTTCTCTCAGGTAGCAAGAAACAATGGTGAGTAAATACTAAATAGAATCATTGATAGTACCGGACATGAAATATTGATACATTCATATACATCATTTATTGTTCCAGGAGGTTATTGAGAACACAAATTTGATGATATCATCATAGCAAACATGTTTTATTCCAAGATAGCTTTGCTTCTTCGGAATCTTTAAAATATTGTATGGAAGCTTGAACTTTCAGTATGAATTCAATAAAGGTATGTACTTGAATCAAATCATTGATATAGTAGGTACTGAACATGAAATGTTAATAGGTTAATTATCTGTTTCAGATGAAGTTATTGAGAACACAAGATTGATGATGTCATCAGAGCAGAGATGTTTCATTCCAAGATATTTTGGCTTCTTCGAAATCTATGTGAGATTGCGTATGCATGTTTGCACTTTCAGTATATTCAATAAAGGTAAATACCTAAATCAAATCATTGATATAGTAGGGACTGGAACATGAAATATTGATAGGTACATTATTTGTTTTCAGGAGGTTATGTACAAATGTTGATATTTCAGAAGAGCATCGTCCATGGAAATATCTATTAAATAGAGCTAGATCGTCAACTTTTCTACGGTGTTGCAGGAAAGTGAGTGAGTTTGTGAGCGAGGCATCACCAACGAGACGAATTGCTCCTTTTAGGACAGAAACCAACATTTTTAGGAAATGTTTGGGTGCTGCACTCCAAATATAGGAATAGTATTCCCGGACACCTCGAATATGTGCCTTATAGATCATAAGCAGCTGACTGAAAGTGAGAAAGCTCCTGGCTCGAAACAGAAAACCAAGTTTTTGGGATGAACTTTTAGCAATCGATCTCACGTGATTTTCCCACGACAAGCAATTGCTGATAGTAATATTAAGCATCAAAATGGATGCCTTCAATAGTTATGTTTGGCACAGTGAGATCAGCTTTCTTAGAGAGAAGGCATGCTTGTGTTTTGTTTGCATATAAATCTACAAAGTAATTGGATCTCCATTCGAGAATATAATTTGGAATCACATTCCGTTGTTGTTCTATCGAAAGTTATTCAATTATCAATCCATTCATCTAACTGTGGTCGTATTCTTGTCTTCTTTCAAATGAATCACCAAATATTATAGTTTGTTTTCAATCAAATTTTGAGTTGATGATTTGAATTATGACGACTGTCGTATTTTCTTGTTGACCAAGTGGAGACATTATACCGAGTACAATTCCATTAGGGTCGATTCTTATCAGTTTACAAATCTAGTATATGTTCGAATTCAGTATGTTCCATCGTCCCACTTATTTATTGAATGAGATGTTCTTCAGTTTCATCCAATGAATTAGGTAAGTTCTAAACTTAAAGGAGACTGAATTTAAAATTATAATCAACAGTTATGATGAAGAGAAAATATCTGAAAAATACTTATATTTTATATGGAATCCAATAATATTGATTCGATTCCTGTCACTATTCTCCCTTCACTGATCAGGAATTAAATCATTGATCGAAACAGTTGTTCCGAATCCATTGTCTGTATTCTGGTATCTTGGATATAATTCGCACTAAATAAAAACGAAACACACATTCTCGTCTTCATATCTTTGATAACACTCAAATGGCAACTACTTATATCAGTACCAATGAGATGACTCGATTTCTATTTATTTCAGCGTCACAACAGATTTTCCAAGCCTTCTTCAGATCTGACAGAGATTCAAAAGTAGGCTAGAAGCCAAAACAAGTGACAAAATTTGACGAATTTGAGAAAACTATCTTGACCATTATCTGAAAGAATAATTGTGTACTGTGTATGTATTCCTTGTTTCATCATAACGAAGATATCATCAAAAATATCTATATCCTATAAGATCACAACCGATTTGAATCACTCTATCCAGCATCATAGACTGAACTCTCTTGATCCAATCAAATGTGAACATACAACATACTTAACTACACACCCTTGAATTTCAAAGAGAAGAATCGTAGATTCAAAATCGCCAACCCTAAGTTGGCATGAGAATCCGTGGGTCATGAATGATTGCATCAAGCTCTATCAATAGCCCCACATGAATAATCAGTTGGGGATTTGTACAGCACATATGTTCCTCAACAATATCGAAAGGCTACCTATTACCCAGGCAACCAGATGACGTTTTAGTGACGTCTGTCCATTTCAGTTGAATGACCAAGGTGAAGTCAGGAGTTGACGTCGTATGACGTAATAAATGACGTTATCAATGACGTGAATGAGTCACAGCACAATGACGTCATGAAACTCACGTTTTTTGACGTTATCCACCCACCAAACTGTGATGTTGGGCTGATGTCGAAATGACGTCGAAATGAAGTTCAAATTTGGTTATGAAAAAGTTTCCTCGAACATGGTGTGATAATCACTACTGATCTCTGATGACATATAATATTGATTATGCATTGTTGAGTCTGCTTCGTCTAGTCAGCAGCGCTATCCTTCAGTACGCATCTACATCAGAATAAAATCAGTTACTCGAATTTTTATCAAAAATTATGTAGTTTGTGTCGGCGAGATGGAAGCAAACCAAGAATATTTTTTTTATCGCTTGGAGCACACGAAAGAAAATC